TGCAGCCGGACAGCCCCTCCGCCCGGCCGCCTGGAAGCAAGGGAGGCGGCGCCTTTAACTGGAATCAACCGGTTGCTCCTGGGAAAGTAGACTCACAGGTTAGGAGGGAATTAGGAGATTATCTGCTCAAAAGCCTTTTCTATATAAGAAAGGAGAGAGCCAAGAGGTGCAAAGTGAGGACAATGAACTTGGGCCTTGTGGCCCCCGTCTGGTGTTTGTGCAGCACCCTGGCCACCTGGTTGTCCCCTGCTCTGCTTGGCCTCCAGCTGGAGATGGCTGAGGTCATTACATGGCAGCGCCAGGGCAGGTGGCACCACCGCAGAGCGCGACCCAGAGGACAGGGTCATTGGAATAAGAACAGGCCATCCGAGGCCTGAGCCGCCTTGGAGGGAATTGGCGGCAGCTGCATCCCAGCGATACTGTCCACACTGTATCCGGGGCTTTTAGTTAATTTCCATGAGAGGACAGGACTAGGTGCCTAGACCACCCGGTTAGAAACAGGGCCTCTCAGGTTCCTAACTGCTGGGTGCTCTTTGGACAAGCCAACCTCTGGGCCTCCGTGTCCCTGTCTTTTTTTTTTTTTTTTAAATATATTTTATTGATTTTTTACAGAGAGGAAGGGAGAGGGATAGAGAGTTAGAAACATCGACGAGAGAGAAACATCGATTAGCTGCCTCCTGCACACCCCCTACTGGAGATGTGCCCGCAACCAAGGTACATGCCCTTGACTGGAATCGAACCTGGGACCCTTCAGTCCGCAGGCCAAAGCTCTATCCACTGAGCCAAACAAGTTAGGGCCGTGTCCCTGTCTTAAAGGGAAGACAGATCATCCGCTGGCTCTCCTGCACTCCTGGTCACAGCCTTCCTGTCCCCTGCCATCTTGGCTACGCCTTGGGCTGTGCGTGCCGACCGGGCCCCTGCCCCGAGGCCCCGGGCTGCGCTCCTGCTGCGGTCAGCTCTGCCCGTGGCCACCGGCAGCTCCTTTCCTGGCAGCGCCTCTCAGAGTCGATCATGCACGGCCTGGACTCCGAGGACCTGACCATGAGTGTGGGAGGGAGCCCCTGGAGCGAGGTGGCCACTTCCTGCCCGGCTCTGCTGCCTCCCGGAGGCCCCCCAAGGAAAGAGCCCCCACCAGATGGCAAAAGGCATCGCCCTCTCAGCCACCACCCAGGCGATCGGGTGATTGGCTCAGGTGCCAAATTGCCTCCGGCCTTATAGGTGCGTGTGAGTGGCACCTCTGTAGACGGCGTCTTCGTGACCCGGCCTGCACTGCTAACCATGTGAAAGGCTTTCCTCCCCATGTGTCAGGTGACTGCCGCGCAGCCCTGGAGGTGAGCAGGTGTGTGTCCCTCCTTTCGCCCGCGGGAAGCTGAGCATCAGGAGGGTTGCCTGAGCCGCCTGAGTGATGCTAGTTTGGAAAGAGCTTATCCTTTGGAGTTGGGACTGAAAGTCAAAGTCCACTTGTGCCAATTACATAACTTGACTAAGCGTTGATTTCCCAACTGTACAACAGGACAGCAAGTTCATGTCCGCTTCTCAGCGAGTTCCCTCCTTGTCACCCCAGGTTTGAGCCCTAGTGGTGCGAGCCAGCCGCATGGTGAGCCCAAGGCTGGGGGGCCGCAGACGAGCCTGGCAGCGCCCCGCAAGTCCCTACCCCAAGTGCGCTGCAGTCTCCTCACCCCGGGGTCTCCAGGGTGAGGAGAGAGGGCCCAGCACGGGCGAGGGCGAGGGCAGGAGGAGCCTTCGGTCCAGGCTCGGAGACTCTTCGGAGCTCTTACACGCCATGGGCGTCACGCTCCAGCGCACGTGCATGTTCTGTGGTGTGGGGCCGGGTCCTGCCATCTGTACGTGTCGTGGTCGTTGCCAATGAGTAGGTCATGGATGAACGAGCACAGACCTTTAAGTCAGACAACCAAATGTCTAGTTCTTGTCCGGCCACTCATTGGCTCCGTGGCCCGGTCACGCCCCTCATCCTTGCTGGGCTCAGCCACCTGGTTGGTGCAAGGGGCCCTCGATGGCACCGGGAGGTGAGCGTGTGCACGTAGCAAACTCAAAACAGAACCGCGGGTCTGCAGGGCAGCTCTTCCTCCCAGCGGGGACCGTCCAGTCCACGGGCATTGCCTGCCTCGTCCCCTCGGAGCCTGGCCTGAGTCGACCTCACCGGACAGCTGCTGCATGAATGAATGAATGAATGAATGAATGAGTGAATGGCTTTAGGTTTTCCCATTTAACATGGAGGCTACTCTCATCAAGGCAGTGCGGTTTGGTGGAAAGGGCATGGGCTACAGAGTCAGACACGTTCCATCTCTGCTTATAACCTGTGGGGCCGTGAGCAGACCACTTACCTCTCTGGGCCGAAAGCAGGCCAGACAGGCTTGCCTACTCATTCACCGAACAGGGCTGTGACTTGAGAAGAAGTCGATTTAGACAATTTTTTTTTTGAAAGGTTAGGGGCCACTTGGCTATAGCTATCCAGCAGGGAAAGGCAGGGCGGTCTGCACCAGCCAGCTGGTCCCGCCTGTGCGGGGCTGTGTCCCCATCATATTCCCTCTTTGGGTGCCTTTCACTTTCACTTTCTCTTCCTCTGCTGACCTGTCCTGACCCTGCCCACCTCCCAGCAGACATCAGAGGCTGCCGGTGAGGGGAGGGTGGGAAGCCCCTCGCCGGCACTTCGGGGACTGGAGGCATGGGCTGTGCTCCGCCAGGCCCTGACTGTCCACTCTGCCCAGCCTTTCACCCACTTGGCTGAGAGGACGTGGGCTCCAAGCCACGCAGGCTGGCCTCTTTGATTCTGATAAAGCGCAGTGATGTTAACGAATTCCTGGCAAGTTCCCCGGAAGCTGCAGTCCTTGGTACCACTGGAGGCCGTGGGGAGGGATTCTGTGC